TTTTTAAAAGACAAACAAAATGTTCGTTATTTCGATACAACAAACAAAATGTTCGTTATTTCGAGACAACAAACAAAATGTTCGATATTTCAATACAACAAACAAATGTTCGTTATTTCAAGACAACAAACAAAATGTTCATTTTTTTTATACAACAAACAAAATGTTCGTTATTTCAATACAACAAACAGAATGTTCGTTATTTCAAGACAACAAACAAACTGTTCGTTATTTCGAGACAACCAACAAAATGTTCGTTATTTCAAGACAACAAACAAAATGTTCGTTATTTCAATACAACCAACAAAATGTTCGTTATTTCAAGACAACAAACAAAATGTTCGTTATTTCGATACAACAAACAAAATGTTCGTTATTTCAAGACAACAAACAAAATGTTCATTTTTTTGATACAACAAACAAAATGTTCGTTTTTTTGAGACAACAAGCAATATGTTCATTATTTCGATACAACAAACAAAATGTTCGTTATTTCAAGACAACAAACAAAATGTTCGTTATTTCGATACAACAAACAAAATGTTCGTTATTTCGATACAACAACAAAAAAGTTCGTTATTTCAAGACAATAAACAAAATGTTCATTATTTCGATACAACAAACAAAACGTTCGTTATTTTGAGACAGCAAGCAATATGTTCGTTATTTCGATACAACAAACAAAATGTTTGCTATTTCGATACAACAAACCAAATGTTCGTTATTTCGAGATAACAAACAAAATGTTTGTTATATCGAAATGCTTTTGAAAGTTCCACATGTAGAAAATCAACAACAGATATAAAATAACTTTTTCTAAGAGGTTAAATATGAAACTTATTTATTGATACATTTTATCAATTTGAAATTGCCATGGAATGAAAGTGAAATTTTCATCAAAATCCAGTAACATAAAATTTAATGAACTAGAAATTTCCATTAACTTGAAATTTACATGAACTAGAAATTTACATGAAATAGAAATTTACATGAACTAGAAATTTTCTTGAAGTAGAAATTTTCATGAACTAGAAATTTCAATTAACTTGAAATATACATGAACTTGAAAGTTACATGAACTTGAAATTTACATGAACTAGAAATTCACATGAACTATAAATTTTCATGAACTATAAATTTACATGAACTAGAAATTTTCATGAACTAAAAATTTCCATAAACTTGAAATTTTCATGTTCCATAAACTAGAAATTTTCATAACTAGAACTTTCTATGAACTAGAAATTTCCTTGAACTAGAAATTTCCTTGAATTAGAAATTTCCTTGAGTTAGAAATTTCCTTGAACTAGAAATTTCCTTGAACTAGAAATTTCCTTGAACTAGAAATTTCCTTGAACTAGAAATTTCCTTGAACTAGAAATTTCCATGAGCTTGATATTCCCTGTATTGTTAAAGAGATGACATTAATTTGCCGAAGTCAACTCTTCATTTAACTAGAAAATGTTGCAAGAAATGTTTGGTTTGGAGAATTTATATTTTTCAATGAAACCAGACCTGAAAACTTTAGAATGGACAAACTTTAATCCTGACTTCTTGATCCGAATATCCACTGTGGAAACTTTTCATTTTAGTCCTTAATCCACTCTTTTTCTCTCTACTTGGATATCCGTTAATTGTTTTCACCAATGAGAATATTTCTGTTCTCTCATTGGTTGCCCGCTTTTCTCTGATCGGCTGCTACAGTTTCCCAGATGATTAAATATTAATTTTAATTTTATCGTTCTTCATACACTTTTAAGACAATCTTGCAAGATTATGTTAATCTGGAGATCAAGAAAAAGAGTGGATTAAGCCTTATCCCGATATCCACCATTCAAAAGTTCCCAGCTCAGACCAAAGTCTGCGGAAAACAGAAGAAAATTTAAATTTCAAATTTATTTCCATTGAAACCATTCTTTAAAGAAATACTATAAAATCTAAGAATACAATTCTAAATAAAACCAATCACCGAACAAGCTGAATTTTTTGTGAAGAGTTTGTAATTTCTGCATTCCTGTTAAGTGGAATTTCATGCAAAAAAAAAACTTTTGTATACATTTTTTAACCCTGACAAAAGCAAAAATGATTTGAAAATAGTCAAAATTGTACCTTGAATTACTTCATATATAAAAAATATTTTCATGACTTTCTCTTTTCCAATATTTTTCCTGGATGACTTTTATGAAGATTGTAGTAGGTTAAAAATTAAAAAAATATATTTCCAGAAGCTTATTACAAAGTGTTTTTATTTCACTAACTTTTTCAAATTACAATTAAAAATAAATAGGAAATTAAAACCTGCTTTAAGAAAGCTTATTTATTTGACTTCCCTCTCCCCCCCCCNCTAAAAAATATCAAAAACTTAAAGTAAACATTATGTGCAGCAAAACTTGTTTCTCGAAAAGCATTTATTAATTCAATATTCAATTCCTTGGACAAACTGTCCAATCCGGGTTTAAATACATTATTTACAGTTTTCTAACGTTTCAAGTTTCAAGCTCAGAGAATAAAAACAATGATGAATTCTGTCCTAGAGTCTCGAGAAAGTAGTTTCTATTTGTGAATTGCATTTGATAAATTTTTTATTGTTTTGAATGCCTGCGAAATATGCAGTTCATCAATCCACAAGTTCTACGTGTGTCTATTTTCAAGGGAAAAAGCATATAAAATAAATAAAAATGATAGATTTTAATTTTTAGAAATTGAAAGAAAAGGAAAATGTTAAAAATTTAATAGTTGTAATATTAGCTGAAAAATAGTTTTAGATTTGAAATTGAAATATAAATATTTAATTCCAGGTTTTCAAAAGTAGTTTGATCTTTTTACATAAATAACTAAAATGTACGTGAAGAACTTAATGTCATTGATAATATTTCATTCATATTTTTATTCAACTACATAGCACGAGATAATACAAATAAAAACTCACAATTTATTATGTAGTTTGGACCCGCCTAACCAGAGTTGGTTGTTTTAAATGGTTGGCCTATTATAAGCAAATAAGAATTGTAAATAAATACATGGGTGTCCGTGTACACTGTGCCTGTACAGTGTACATTTTAAACAAAACAATGATGATAAATCAAGAATATGGTAAGGAGGGGGTAAAAAAGTAGAAGGGAAAGGGTGGGTACTCAGCGGAAGGGTTGTAACAGGGGGAAACATATATTATTAGAATCATGTTTATGAATTACAGGGTGAAGAAGATAGCAAAGACTAAGTTTACCCACATGAAAAAAGTAATTTTTTTACAGATATAACTTGCATATCTATCTAAATAGTTTTTGACGATTTTTCTTTTAAACAGTTTTGCAGATTTAGTTTCTTTAAGCTCTAATTCAAATGATAATAATAATCAGAATTTTAGCTTTACTTGATAATATAGAAAAAATAAAATGTAAGCAATTGGAAAAAAGCTTTTCATAGTACTAGAGTAATATAACGTTTAAGAATGTTTTTGAGAAAAGGATAAAAGAGTTTTTTTTCGTGGATTTTGCAATGTCGTTTAAAGTCTGTTTTCCCAGAGTGAGTAGAGACAGTGTATTGAATTTATCAACGATGACAGAATATTTTAAGAAAGTAAAATTCTATTTACTTTCTACAATGTACATCGAATTAAAAAGAATACATTCAAACCTTTTATTTTGGCATCCTTTTCTCTTCCATCCTTCAATTGTGGTATCCCGGTTTTGTGATATCCTGGTATTCTGGTATCCTGGTATTTTGGTATCCTGGTATCTTGGTATCCTAGTATCCTGGTATCCTGGTATCCTGGTATCCTGGTATTCTGGTATCCTGGTATTCTGGTATCCTGGTATCCTGGTATCCTGGTATCCTGGTATCCTGGTATTCTGGTATCCTGGTATTCTGGTATCCTGGTATTTTGGTATCCTGGTATCCTGGTATCTTAGTATCCCGGTATCCTGGTATCCTGGTATCCTGGTATCCTGGTATCCTGGTATCCTGGTATCCTATTATCCTGGTATCCTGGTATCCTGGTATCCTGGTATTCAAATTTGCTTGTATTCAGGTATCCTGGTACCCTGGTATCCAGATATCCTGGTATCCATATACCCTGGTATCCTGGTATCTTGGTATCCTGGTATCCTGGTATCCTGGTATCCTGGTATCCTGGTATCCTGGTATCGTATTATCCTGGTATCCTGGTAGTCTAGTATCCTGGTAGGATTTATCCCGAATAGGACTATGTATAATGAAAATACAAAATATATTATATTAATTGGTAATTACTCTGTCAGAGGATGAATAATTAGTAAATAAATAATTACATGTTTTCTGGAAATAAACTTAATCATAATTTATAATGATCCACGGTTTAGAACATTAAAAAAACTCATTTCAGCGTATTTTAATAATAATAAAATCAACAGGCTAAATTTTATCCATTTCTATGCACAAAAGATGTGTTTGGAAATTTTATTAGATTTGTCTGAATCAATATTAAAAAGCTCATTATCTCTGTGGTTAATTGTTTAATTCAAGATCATTTAGACAATTTACCCCCCCCCCCTGGCTTTGAACTTTAGTATAATTCAAAACTATGTTTATATATCTAACGCTGTACACTTGTACATAGAGCGATCGTATTTCTAAGGGGGATTTTATGTAATTGACCAATTTTTAGATTTAATTTCTTGATTTAAAGAGAATTTGATGATGTATCTAATTATCAATACTAATATTCAAATATCTACATAAAAACACCCCTTAGAACTACGATCACACTGTATACAAGTGTACAGCGTTAGATACGTAAACATATCATGATGTACACAACCGACCACTCTATTAATTGATTAATAGGGAGGTCGGTTGTGTATATCTGAGCTAAGCTTTACCTCTTCGTTTTATTACTCTATTCATTACACTCTCTATTCTTGTAAAAGGAACCAGCGGTAAGTTTTAGGCATTTTAAATTGTTTACTTTTTTACTTTTTATGAAAAGATCACTGTCGCATATAAGTCATGTATAAACGATAGATGAGTGGAATATATATATATGTTTATTATACTAATTATCCAAAAGGGTTTCAAGTAAATATAATCGAGAGTAGAGTAACTATGTGATGATACTTAAATTTTACATATTTGTTGTTGCAGAACACATACTAATCATATCAGCTCGGTCAGATCTTGCTAACTCTCTCTCCTTCTTTCTAGCTTCTTCGTTAGCATCATCTAATCCACTAGAGGATGCTGGACCCAGAGCAGGGGGATCTGATACTGGTGCTACCGGTGCAGGGGGTGTAGATACTGGAGCTGGTGCAGGTGGTTTAGATACTGGAGCTGTTGCAGGTGGTTTAGATACTGGAGCCGGTGCAGGTGGTTTAGATACTGGAGCCGGTGCAGGGGGTTTAGAAACTGGAGCTGAAGGATTAGTGACTGATACCGGTGCTGGAGTTGTTGATACTGAAGCCGGAGCGGGAGGGGTTGATACTGGGGCCGGCGCCAGGGAATGAGAAACAGGAGCGGTCGCAGATGGATTTGATTTTGGAGCTGGAGAAGAAGACTTAGAAACTTGAGCTGGAGGAGGAGCCTTAGATAGTGGAGCTGGGGAAGGAGCCTTAGAAACTGGAGCTGGAGGAGGAGCCTTAGATACTGGAGCTGGAGAAGGAGCCTTAGAAACTGGCGCTGGAGGAGGAGCCTTGGATAATGGAACTGGAGAAGGAGCCTTAGGCAACTTTTCAGTTGGTACTGGAGGATTTGAGCTGATTCCCAGGTCAGTTCCTTTGAAAAGAAAAGATTAATTTTGTGAATGTTTTATCCACTAGATATTAGACTAATGTTATGCATTTTTTAAATTTATAAATATAGACTTGTACCAGTTGTAGTTGCTGAACATAAACTGAGCATATCCTCACTAATTGCCTTCTTCTTTACAGGTTTCATTACAGGGGTTGCCGCTCTAGGAGAAGGTGCTGCAGGAGCTGGTGGATTTGCATTCTCAACACTGGCTGGAGGAAGTATACTTATATCCAAATCAGTTCCTAACGAAACAGAATTTACATAAAGATAATTTGATTGTATTTATATTTTTCATAGAATAATATTAAAACAAACCTGCTGTTGTTGCGGAACATAAACTTATCAAATCCTCGCTAAGCTCTGTTCTTGGAACACGTGCTGGTATCTCAGGTTCAGGACTTTCTTCTTTGGAAGTTGGTAGTTTACCAGAAGGATCAGCTGCAGATGCCACAGCTTGTTCTGTAATAGTAACCATAGCTGGGGTGGAAGAGGTAGCGGTAGTAGCCGGAGTAGCAGAAGAACCTGGCGAAGAACTAGAACCTTTGGTAGTAGAAGAACCTTGGGTAGCAGAGGATAATGGAGCATCATTAGAAGCAGGAGTTGGAGTTGGTACTGCAGGAACTGAAGGCAATGCAGCAGTAGGAGCTGGAGTCGGAGTTGTGGCTCCTGGAGCTGCAGCTGGAGGCTGTTCAGTAGTAGGAGCTGAAGATGCTGCTGGCGCTGCAGCAGCAGGAGCTGGAGCTACTGGTTCAGTAGGAGCTGGAGCTACTGGTTCAGCAGGAGCTTGAGTAGGGAAAGGAGTTGGAGCTCTGGTCGCTCTTGTTGCAGGAGAAGCCTCAGTTGTAACGGATGAGGATAGTGTTGGCTGATCAACCTTTCGAATAAATGAATAGAATAAGGAGAATAACTGATAATTTATAATATGTATGTTGTATAGTAAAGCAAACAAGTCTAGATTTTTTTACAGAAATATTTATCTTATGTCAACATAATAGGCAACAGGAATTCGAGCAAATTTTAAAATAGCATTTATATCAAGCTTTTAACTACAGGGTTACCCACAAAACTCTCTAAATATGACAATCTGAATATATCAAGCTTTTAACTACAGGGTTACCCACACAACTCTAAATATGATAATCTGAATATATCAAGTTTTCAACTACAGGGTTACCACCAAAACTCTCTAAATATGACAATCTGAATATATCAAGTTTTCAACTACATGGTTACCCACAAAACTCTCTAAATAGGACAAACTGAATATTAGATTTTAACGTCTGTCTTCTTTCAATGGTTTACAATTAAGTTTAGTAATTGGTGAAAGATAAAAGCTTGTTTTCAAATGCAGGAAAGCTTTGATGTAATAACTCAATAAATTCCGTACAGTAGTCTCTGAAGACTCATCCTTTCTGGGTAACCCTGTACATTCCAACCCATCCAGCATGCCGTGTTAAAATTGTAAATTCAGTTTTATTTTATGTAATATATGGAAATTATGGCATTAGAAAATGTTAGCATGGTCCCAAGTTCATTGACAAGATTAAATATGAAAAATGAAAATTACCGCTGTTTGAATCCTCCTGAACAGAGAAAGCATTTGGTTTGGATTTGATATTGTTGTCTCGTTGTTTACTGTAAGATGGACAAGCTTATTATCAGGAGATACAATGGCGACAGCTCGTGAGGACACATTGGTTTTCTGATTAAAAACTCCATATATTCTGGCAATTTCTCCACTTATATCTGCTAGAACAGGGAACGTGATACCCTTCATCCTGAGCATAAATACTTATTTACTTTAAAAAAATGCAATATACATGAAAAAATAATAATAAAAAATATTTTGAGCATTAAAATGATTTTTTCTAATGATAAATTCGATATGTTTGACTGTGGCTTGACTTTATAACTTTGACATAATTTAGTTCTTCACAACAAAACTAATATTCACTTTCTGTCCGCCAATGCATATTATCCTGAGTCTATATACATTATATTATGACCCCGAATAATTCGAAAATTGGATCTTTTTAAATTTTAAGTTAAAAAATACCTATTCATCATCCAAGTTCTCAGAGCTACATGAGAAGCTGTTGCGACTCCAAGAATAACACATCCCTCATCTCTGAGATTAATCAAATTTAATTTTTTTATTCTAAAACTAAAATGTAAAATATTTACCTAAATTTCTGTTTGTTTTTGCTAAAATCTAACCACTCGTTGATCTCAAGGTTAGTAAGTTTGTTGTCCATGAAGAGAATCAGAAGATATTTCCCATTCAAACGTTTTGAAGATATGTGGACAAACTTCAGACCTGCAGATGTTTCAGAAACACCAACCGAAGAGCAAACTGGAAGCACCATATTCATAGGCATGCTCTTCCCGATGTTGTAGTGCTTAGCTGGTGGTTTCACATTTGAGTTCAAAGTTCCGTCTACTGCACTCATTTTCAAAGTACTGCATTAAAAAATGCATAATAAAAATAGAAAAAAATGCATTATGAAAATAAAAATACAATAGAAATTATCAAAATGAAGCAAAAAATGCAAATTTTTGACAAAAAAAATAAATATTGAAAAATCTCGGCATTAAATTTCTTATGCCGTTTTTTCTTTTAATAAAATCCTAGCTTTCTGCTTTCTTACGTTAATTTAATTGTAGCTTTGATCGTTAGTTTCAAGATTGCGGTAATATTTTTTGTCTTTTACCTAAGAATGCTTGGTCTCTAAAAAGCAAGATGACAACTAACTTTGCAGATTTCCAAATATATCATTCCCGCATTTGCGTGCTAAAATAATTTCCCGCAATTACTGACCTGAGCATCAAATTTCTAGATTTACAACTTATTTTTCGTTTAATATATGTTTTTTACACATGGAACATTCAGTGAACAACTCTGTTCCATATTCCGCATCATACCGGTGTTCTATGATTAAAAAGTCTCTTTTGTTTAACCCCATCCTGGTTGGGTTATATTTGTCTATCCGTTTAAAAAGTGTATAAAAAATTATCAACATTAGCATGTAAACACACATTTACACATCCATATATTCAGAACTTGATAAATTGATCTTAGACTCAATTAATTAAAAAGTTACAGGGTACACATTAGATTTATTTGGATGTTTTAAATTTTATCCACTAATGTATCAGTTCTATTAGTTTTATTCAGTTAGTTAAGTTCATTAGTTTGTTACTCCGTTTAACTCGGGAAGTTAATAACAATTCGTTTGAATTTTACAGGGTTACCCACAAAAAAATGAGTTTTCAGAGACGACTGTACGACTTTTTTAATGTTTTTTTATTCACGATTCCAGGCAAATGTAAAACTTTTTCTTTCTATGCCAAATCATTAAAAAACTATTTAAAGACTAGATTCAAGCTAGAAGACTTAATTTAAACTTAGAATCGTTATATTTGAAGAGTTTAAGTCGTCTTTACAGTCTCATGAGTCTCATTCGTTGGAGGTAATGGTTTCTCAATAGGAACGGGATCGAAATAAGTCAAAATTATTTTCTGTTAGTCCTTGTTCATATTCCTTGTTCATATTCCTTGTTCATATTCCTTGTTCATATTCCTTGTTGATATTCCTTGTTAATATTCCTTGTTCATATTTGTAAACCAAAAAACAAGTCGCTAGTTCATTCGTTTGTCAAGTGCATAAAAGGAATTGAGTCTTTGCCACAAACTCAAATTTTCTAATCCCTATATCTTTGCTACCCGATGTCGTAGACTTTGTATGAATTATTTATTATCAAATAATCCAAGTTTGGAACATTAAAGATATAAACCATCAGGTTGCAAAACACTGATCTCTACCCAAATCGCATTTATAAGATATTCATTAAATATATTTTTTCAATTAATACATAGAATTAGAATAAAAAATAGATTACTTTGATAGCACATCTCTATAATGGGAGTTACATAATTATACAACCTCAAAGTAAATAAAAAAAATAAAATTAAAATAATTATACAACCTCCTCACTGTACATCGACAAAACCTTAGAGGTTAGTATTTGTCAAGTTTTAAACCAGCATTTGAAAATGGTAGGAAAAAAAATGTAATATAGATCTTGCAAGTTGCACATCATAACTTTTTCTTGAGAAATATTGAAATATTTGATTATTTTACATTTTAAAAAATTTCTTTATCATACAAGACTGTAAACTATGAAGTTACAAGAAGAAACTGGTCAGAAATGGTAAATAATACAATTTAAATACAAAATACAATTAATTTTCATGAAGAATGTATTAACAGTATTTTTTACAACTCAATGATCTCTTTAACAGCTCATAAATTAATATAGTGTTTCTAGCTCAACATACCATTTTCTTTTTACAGCTAAAAGATACACTGTGAACAACTGTATTATCTACTGTTTAGAGTTGAATGATCCACTGTTTACACCTCAATGATCTACTGTTTACAGCTCAATGATCTACTGTTTTGAGCTGAATGATTCGCTGTTTACAGCTAAATAATCTACTATTCACAGCTGAATAATCCACTGTTTACAGCTGAATGATTTACTGTTTAGAGCTAAATGATCCACTGTTTACAGCTGAATGATCTACTGTTTACAGCTGAATGATCAACTGTTCACAGCTGAATGATCAACTGTTTACAGCTGAATGATCTACTGTTTTGAGCTGAATGATCCACTGTTTACTGCTGAATGATCCACTGTTTACAGCTGAATGATCCAATGTTTACAGCTGAATAATATACTATTTACAGCTAAATGATCCACTGTTTACAGCTGAATGATCCACTGTTTACAGCTGAATGATCAACTGTTTACAGCTGAATGATCCACTGTTTACAGCTCAATGATCCACTGTTTACAGCTCAATGATTCACTGTTTACAGCTCAAGGGTCCACTCTTACTTAAATCCAAACTCGACATGATGGGTCTAATACATCTCTGCAGGTTCCTCAGATGACTGGAACAAACTAGTTTTATCTTGAGGTTCAGTTGTTAAGGCTGGAAATCCAATTGTAGATGAACCTCTTGTCGTTATAGTTTCTAGCTCTGCTGTACTTGCTGAGGATTGAGTATTGAATATCCAGATATCAAGATATCCAGATATCAAGATATCCAGATATCAAGATATACAGATATCAAGATATACAGATATCAAGATATCCAGATATCAAGATATCCGATATCAAGGTATCCAGATATCAAGATATCAAGATATCCAGATATCCAGATATCCAGATATCTAGATATCAAGATATCCAGATATCAAAATATCCAGATATCAAGATATCCAGATATCCAGATATCAAGATATCAAGATATCCAGATATCCAGATATCCAGATATCAAGATATCCAGATATCAAGATATCAAGATATAAAGACTGGATATAAGATTGGATATGAAGATATCCAGATATTAAGGTATCCAGATATCAAAACATCCAGGTATCAAGGTATCCAGGTATCAAGGTATCCAGTTATCAAGGTATCCAGGTATCCAGTAGTCCAGATATCCAGGTATCAATATATCCAGGTATCAAGGTATCAAGGTATTGAGGTATCCAGGTTTCAATAAATATAGATATCCAACTAGGTATCCCCCCAGGTGGGAAGCTTAAACTTGATCTTCCATCCTGAATTATCAATTACTTTGTATACTTTCTCCGTAAAGCACTTAGACACATGAATATTGAATACGGATTAGGGAATAAATGTATTTTTATGCATTATGCAGTGCTTGGGCACTTACATATATATATATTTATTGACACCTCAGGTCAGAACTATAACAAGAGGTAGGTAGTTTTATTAGACATTACTGGGAGTTAGGTAGTTTTATTATAGATATTACTGGGAGGTAAGTAGTTTTATTAGATATTACTGGGAGAGAGGTAGTCGTATTAGATATTACTGGGAGAGAGGTAGTTTTATTAGATATTCCTGGGAGGTAGGTAGTTTTATTAGATATTTCTGGGAGAGAGGTAGTTTTATTAGACATTACTGGGAGGTAGGTAGTTTTATTATAGATATTACTGGGAGGTAGGTAGTTTTATTAGATATTACTGGGAGGTAGGTAGTTTTATTAGATATTACTGGGAGAGAGGTAGTTTTATTAGACATTACTGGGGATAGGTAGTTTTATTAGATATTACTGGGAGGTATGGAGTGCCAACATGTTGTATCCGCAGAAACGCTTGATATTTCTTTCATGTATCTTGTAAACATCCTTTATTGTGTCTGCAGCATAAAAACTGTCCTCGTGACCTTTGAAAGATCTGACCTTTTACCAAGGTTCCGCCGAGTGTATAAAGATATAAAGATATTCCCCTGCTTAGTATTCTACCTGGAGTCCGTCCTGGAGAAATACAATAAAACAATCTGAACAATTACGAGTATATGTATAATGTATGTTTGGAGAATAAATGTATAATATGTAATATACATGCATAGCACGCAGTCTGTGGTATTCATATTGTTTAGGTTTTACAGGATGCTTCAATAAACACGAGATTCCAGTGACAACTTTAAAGGGACCGTTCACCTTTTTGGGTAATTTTAGGGTAAACTAAACAGCCTATTTGCTCTTGATTGGTAATAGTCTTACTTTTCAAAGACAACTGTGGCCGAAGAAAAAGCCGATTTTTCGTTCAGAATTTGAGCGGAAAGGGACGGTCCCTCTCTATAGACACTATTTAATGTTTTTTCAGTAACAGCAGCCCAATAACATTTAAATTTATTATATTTTAATGTCATTATGTGTTCGTTATTATGTACTAAAATCTGAAAACTTTTGATATTTGAGTTAGCAAGAAATTTACGTTTTTCGTATTAAAACATGTAAAATGTGTTTACAAAGACGACGTCTCTACGACAATCAATTAATCATTAATCGTATTTTGGTTCGTAGATTTTGTATATTTTTTTCCAGGGATTTAAAAATCCGAGTTTGTGGCAAAAACTCATTTCCTTTTACTAGGACTCAAAAAGGCATGTCTTCTAAAGTATTTTTCATGTGAGCGGTAAAAATCCTTTAAAATACCCTTGAAATCTTGACATAAAATCCATTTTTATTTGGACACCCTGGGACCAGATTTTATGAATAGCAAGTGGTAGTTGAACCACTTACCACCGTTTTAACCTAAAGGGAAGTGTTTCAATTTGAAGTGGTTCAGCCACTTCTCCTTTTCATTAGATTTGGTCCCTGTAATCTATTAGATCTAGGAGTTTACGAGATATATGGATAGATCATATAGATCAATAAGTCTGCTAGATAATATAGAAACTACAATAGGAAGCTTAGCACGCATGGAATGCGTACTCGTGAATTGTGCTTATTTATAAAAATATATTTGTTGCGACAACAAGATTTTAAATTATTTAAATTAATAATATAACCTTGTAATGGAAATCAGACCGAACACACATTTAAAAACGTCAAAGCAGATAAATTACCTGTACAAAAGGAAACAAGTTTAGTGTGTGTCAATATGGCCTCACATTAATCTCACTAAAAGGAGATAATTCATTCGGTGTTGTGCCGGGCCTTGTTTTGCTTTATATAGTCGTTTTCTATACTGTACAACTTGCTCTGAAAGCCAGTCCATTACATAACCCTTTAAAGGCTGGGGGGTCTGAATCTAAGTATAGACTGGGGGGGCGTCCCACGCACCCCCCCCCCCAAGGAAAAAGGTCTCTGAGAATAGGTATAGGATTAAAATGCATGTTCAAAGCCAAATTTTTCAAGGCCAGCTAATTGAAAAAAATTAGATCGATATCTTTTGTAGTTTGGGTGCAAGGAAGGG